TAATTTTTATCTCTCTTTATAAAAAAATTAAATTACAGTTTGTTAATCCATATGAGTTTAAATTTTATTATATATGTATATTTTAGGGTGATTAATAGCCGAATGGTTAAGTCACCCTACCTACGATTTCGTGGGCGCAGGTTCGAATCCTGGTCAAGCCAGGCCCTTTGTGAGCCCTCTCGGTGCTTGCAGCAATAGGGCCATCGTTCATCACAGTTGGTGGAATCGTAGATACATCAATATACTACTGAAGTTAACTATACAAGAGGACAGCCAACCAACAAATTAAAATCTTATCATCATAATGGTAACCATCCACCAGGAATGATTTTCCATTTAATGTCAACCGCGATCTTAAATTTACTCAATGTTCATATTGATGAATAGATTGTGAATAAAATTTTAAGATATAAAAAATGTATACTTTAATGACATAATTACATTTAATATAACTATAAAAATACCAACAACAATATTTTTACTTTATATTATGTAATTAATCTATTAGTAAGTTTATTCTTTAATCATTTGTCGTCTGACGGTACTTATAAGTACTGTTACATTTTTGTCGCTATTTAAATAATAAAGAGACGTGAAACAGGCTTTTTTAAATTCATCTTTATATTGTATACAAAAATGATTTGTTTTGCAATTGGAAACACCAAGTGAAAAATTGAATAGCAGAATACATATAAAATAATATTGTTACTTATTGTACGATTTTTTCATTGAAAATATTGTTGAAATTTAATTAAAATCTGTAGGCAACTTAATTTTAATGTGTTTTAAAAGATATCAAAGGAAAATTTTTATTTTTTTTAAGTAAATTTTAAATATTTTTGTATAAGTATTGATCAATAGGTGCTTAGGTGAATTTTCCTTAGTTTTAGTTTAAATATTTTGAATAAACTTCGCTCAATTTTCATTTATCTTCTTCTCTTCCTACAATATTAATAATTTTCCGAACTTTAATTCTAATTTTGCCTTTGTACTCACATTTGGCGAATTTAGGTCTGCATTAGTTCCATACATACTATAACGTTCGCCGAACATAAATTCCTTGCCTCATGTGAACATGAATTTCATTAACTTTCCAAAACGTTGCAGCATCGCATCGGAACCAAATGAAACCATACCCTTTACCAAATACGTTTTCAATATTAATATTCAATTTTATTGGCTTCCTATATTGCATATGCATTTACGGACTGTATTGATTTGCTCAATTAAAGGTTTATATTCGTTTAGGTCAATGTTTGTTCACGTACGAAATCCCTTATTGCAGAATTCTCGCTTTGAAAACACGTCCGGATAAAGGTTGCAATACGCAATGTTTGCACGTTAATTGAGTCCATAAAACTGTAACGGATCAATTAATATTTCCGTGTTTCGTTTAAATTTTGACGATCGATAGGAAATGTGATCCGTATGTATGTAGGTGGCGCACGCCCACGCCGTTTAAATAATACATTTTCCCACTGTAATTACCGAAAACCTTGCAATGTGATGAATCCGGTGGGCAAATTAAATTGAATTTAATTATACATCAAATATTACAAGCGTTATTCAACTTATGCGCTGTATTTGATAGGATAGGGCTGGGCGACGGCCATAACTACGATGTTCATCAATCAATGTTCATAAATGGTTTCTGATATCGCCTGTCTATTTTTCCAATTAATCTAAATTATTTTCAACTCAATTTATTACCAAAAGTGCACTTTTGCAATTTTCTAAGTGATCAATAATAAGTTAATCTTATTTAAAAGGGACATTTACAAGTATATTATTACTTGAATTATAATTTCTCCTCAATATGCATGACACGTTTGAAAAAAAATACTATGCCATATAATACTTCGATGTATAAATAAAAGTTATTGATTATTATGGAGTCTGATGATACTAAAACTGAAGTAGCAGCTAAAATGTTTACTATGTACCAACTTAAATATATGTATGTTATTATATTTACTTAATACCGTTTAATTATTATTGCTGACCGAACTAACGTACAAATATCCGTACGAACGTACTATGATGTCAGACATGTGCACGGAACATCATCTTGTGAATTTTACTTCTATTAATGTTATTTGTTTTCATTTTTCTAGAACTTATATAAATAATACATATACCAAATATAAATGAAATCTTTGACAAACAGTACATTCCTATGGCTTTTCAGATCCTCAATGCGAATGACTGATTAATATTCTTTTTTATATGCGATACTTAACTAAGATTCGATGTTAAATAAATATTCCATAAAATGATTAGGTAAGATCATTACGTTTTATATACTTTGTCAATTTTCACATCTTCACATGCTAAGGCAATTCTGTAAAATACAAAAAAATATACTTTATAATATATATAATTTTATGAAATAAGAAAACCGATATTTTTTTAAGGTCGTCCATCATTTCACATATTTCACTATAAGTATTCGATAAAGTCTGTCTTTTAACATAAACTTTTTATAAGGTGGTATTATTATTTTTTTGTTGTTGCTGGTGATACGTGTCCCATAGATATGGTGGATATGATGAAACAAAAAGGTTGCTGAAAGATGACAGAAACGAGAAAGGAAGTGGCGTAGAAAAAGTGGGAAACGTAGAAGAAGGAAAGAGCCGGACGTGCCTTATTGTTTTTCCTCCGCTCCTTTGTATGTTTTCCGCAGAGCTAATTTCGCTGTCAGAAAAAGGTATTCATATCGAATGCGCCTTTGCTAGGCTCACATGTAAAAACAAAGGAACAATTTTACAGACTTTCCGATATAGAACAAACGACCCGAGAACTGTAACACAATTTATATAGTTTTGGTTTTGCTTTTCTCTAAAAAGGAAATGTCAAATATTATATTTGACTCAAAATATCAAGATGCACCGTATTTCCTAAAGAATAAGTATAAGACGCATCTTAATTTTTATACCCGAAATTTGAAAACAAATTGTATTACATCACTGTTTCGTACACACCCAATTTTTAGATTAAATTTTTCGAAAAAGAGTTTATCTTATACTTGAGAACTAGGATAAATGATAATTTACTAATAATCAAATCATTTAATGTGAAACTAAATAATTACGAAAAAAAATATACTTCAAATAATATTGCATCATTAAATGGTTAAACTAAAAATACAATGATTAAAAAAACAATTAAAATTTTACAAATGTAGATTGGTAAAATTGCAAATTATTTGTAGTAGTATCTATAAGCTCTATGTAAACTTAGCATAAGAATGAATGCTATTATTAAGATTAAAGATATTAAGATTAGAACATTTAATTAAGTCTTTGCGCTAATCTCGCGAATACTCGAATTGCATAGTTTCCCAGAGAATTAACATAATAATTGGAACAAACTATTTTCGTGCAATTCCAAATATTAAGTATAATTAATTACATTTCTTGAATACTAATAATATAAAATCAATATTATTGTTGTTCCAGAAAATTATATAATGAATACAAAATAATTATATAATATATTTTCTGTTGAAAGAAAGAATATATTTGTTGTAAAAAGTTTTAAAATAGTTTTATTGTATTTTTATCTATTATGTTTAAATATTCATTACATTTATCATATGGGTCGGCAACTTGCGGCTTCAGAGTTTCAAATTGGCTCTTTGCATCCGAAATGGATATTGATTTATCAGATGACTTAGTTACAACACATTTTTATTATGTGTAAATGTATACATATAAAACAGTGCTCCCCAACATTTTTATCTCTACGGACCGGTCAACATTTGATAATTTTTACCGCGGCCCACTGAGTGGTAGACGTGATTTAAGATTTTAACTCACTAGATCGCTAAATCAATAAGAACCATGAGTTTGTTTCTTTGCAACGAGACTATTCCATCTGAGGGTTTGTGGACCGGGGGTTGGGGACCATTGATATAAAAGACAAATATACGTAATTTCTATTCATTTGAAAAGATGTTATACTATAAAATAAGATTCTCGTTAATATAAAATATAAATTTATAAACAAATTTACTAATAGTACTAATTTACTATCAAAACGTTGTCAAAATAAATATTAATAAAGATTTGTCTATCATAGTATTATGTTAATGCGGCACCAATACCAATGGTCAATATTACTTTTTTTTAATATTATGATTAAATAAATATTTGTTTATATTTAACTGTTATAATAAATATTATTATCATTAATAATGATGCACAAATAGTAAATTACATTGAAATTCTCATATACTGAAAATAATGAACCTGATTCAACAAATTCTATATTTAATTAAATATTATTTGTTCTATTTTGATGGAAATATATAAATAATATTATTGCAATTAAAAAAATGCACATATTTCATACATTTCATACATTTCATACATGAAAACACAAAAATCATATAATATATTTTTTATTTATTTAAACATTTTTATTGGGTACAGAAAAATGCAAAAGCACCAAAAAATGTTCTCCAAAAACAAAATGCTGTATTTATTTTAATTCCAATTTATGACAAATATTCCGAGCATATGCGAAATATTTTGTGAACATTTCTGTCGAAACTATATAAAAACTAGGTGTTAAATACGATTTATACTATGCACGGAACATCGATTGATTTTTTAGGGAGTGTTCTGGGGATAAAAGGGAACCAATTTCCTCCAGCAGAAACTGGGAAATCTGGCCGTGGAGAGATAGGGGAGAAGCACTCTCAAAAGGGGTCATGCGTTTGTTGGAAATTAATGGTCCGGACAAACGGCGAAAGAACCATTTTTATCCGGAAAATAATAACATAAAAAAAGTAATGCCCAGGAAATTTAATATCTGATATAAAAATAAAAGGAATCTCTCCCCTTTTTCACTCTCATCCCTCTAAAAACTCTTAATCAATTATCATGTCTCTGATTAATTGATTTTAATTAAGTAGGTCACAAGTTTCGTCTCATCTTTGCTACAAAAAATAGTAATTAAGAAATCGGATCTTTATACTGTATCTTTTCTTTTTGCAGTTATGTTATGGTGCCAGTTCTCCGGCTCTTTCGGATCGCAACCGTTTTCCCACGCTGTTCCGAACTCATCCATCTGCCACAGTCCACAATCCGACGAGGATTAAGTTGATGAAGAAGTTCGGATGGTCACGAGTGGCCATCCTGCAACAGGCCGAGGAGGTCTTCATTTCAACAGTTGAAGATCTGGAATCGAGGTGCACGGATGCTGGAATTGAAATCGTGACCAGACAATCTTTTTTATCCGATCCCACCGATGCCGTACGTAACCTGAGACGTCAGGATGCACGAGTCATTGTTGGCCTATTTTACGTCGTCGCCGCTCGTCGGGTTCTTTGTGAAATGTACAAGCAGAATCTATATGGACGATCCTACGTCTGGTACTTTATTGGTGAGTTATATTGAACTTATGATATTATTTGCAATTACATTTTTAAAAATAGGTCATACAAATATCTCATTGTTAAATAAATAATAATATAAATCAATTATGCATATTACATAACTAATAATATTACCAATATAAAATAAGTAGTAATATAACCAAAACGCAAAATATACTTTTTCTATGTCTAATTAATCTTTAACTACTCGCGCACTGAAATTTCTATGTACTACTCGCGGGGTCTATTTTATACTCCATATGCATTACTGCCAGATGGAGCGCATAAATGTTTGTATTGTGATAAGAACAACGTTTAGTTAACATGATTTTTTTATTAGTTTCATAACTATAATTTCTTAGAAAATTGGTATACTTTTTAAACCGGCGCGAGTAGTTAAAGGTTAACATCGTTAATCATATAAAAATTAGATGTAATACGGAATTTCTGTACATCACAAAAATGGTTATATTTTTTATAATTTCCTTTTTCTATGTGTAATTAACATTGTTAATTGAAAATAATAGTTCGAATTGCATATTACTTAAGCTGTTGTTTTGGCAGTAACTGATATAAAAACTTATAATCAATATATTTCTTAAAAGTTTTCTCAATAACATTATACGAATGATTTATGATTTTTTTTATTCAATTGATTTTTTTACAGTTCTTTAGGCATTTATTTATCCATTAGAAAGAAATACTTAGGTCAACTTTCTTTGCTACAAATAGATTTTTTACATAGATTGCGTATTTGAGAGCACACAAATACTAATTTGATTCATTACTGTTGGTGGTAATGATTTGACTAATTTATGAACGTTTTTAACTAGAAATTTCTGTTAAACATTTAGTTATTTTTATATAATATTGGTTTCATTATAAGTAAAAGGAGAAGAAAAAAACGAATGATTAAGTAATTAACTTACATATTTTTTTTAAAATTAAAAATAACACAAATTTGTATCAACTGGTTATTAATTATAATAAATTATTAAAATATAATTAAATTATATAATATTTATTAGTTACAATGCAACCAAATGGCAGTCGACCTAAGTCTTTCCGCCAAACTTATTAAAATATTTTATTCTAACATTAATTTCTTGTCTTAAATTCCAAAAAGACCTAATTTTACATTTAACATTTCATTGTGAATCAGAAAATGAGAGATGCTGCGATACAACTGAGAAATACACAATAGGAAATGAAGATTTTAATTTGAAAATAAGAAAATAGAAAATATGCAGTACTTCTCTTTTAATTAGCTTTCTCACATCGATTCCTTTCACATTTTACGAAGTCTTTAATTAACTTTCGCCGAGGTCTCTTCAATAATTCAGAGTCGAGCGTAAGAAATTTCCTAACGATGAAAATAGGACCCTTAATTAATCAGCAAGGAAACAGCAATATACATTTAAAGTAATTTCTTAGGTTGGTACGAGGACAACTGGTTCGAAATAAACTTAAAGAAGGAAGGGATCGAGTGCACCGTGGAACAGATGAGACTCGCCGCCGAAGGTCATCTGACAACCGAAGCCCTAATGTGGAACCAGAATCTGAACGAGCGGACCATCTCAGGAATGACTTCGGAGGACTTTCGGCTTCGGTTGAACGACGTTCTAAGAGAGGAAGGTTATGACATCGATAAGCAGCGCTATCCAGAAGGATATCAGGAAGCCCCACTCGCCTATGACGCCGTTTGGTCCGTTGCGTTAGGTAACAGATTATTACTTCCATATGTTCTATTACTTAAGAAGTTTCGATCTCAATTGGATAAGAAAAAAAAACTTAAAGTAAATTTGTTCCGAACCATTAAAAAAAATATATGCAAATTGAGGTCCGCAATGAAAATTTATGATGATGTTATCCAGAAGAAGTTTTCAACGCCCCACGAGAAAAAAATATATATATGAAACATTTTCCCCGATGGACCGATTCCTCATATTTCCTCGGCGAGAAACTTTCATCTTTTTTTTCTCTTCCCATTCTCACTCGTTCTGTATATTAAACTTGCTTTCCTTCGTTTGCAATGCAGCATTCAATAAGACTATGGATCGCCTTCATAAATACGGAAAGAGCTTGAAAGATTTCAACTACAACAATAAGGAGATAGCTGATGATATTTATTCCGCCATAAATTCGACGCAATTTTTGGGAATTTCTGTAAGTTATATAACTTACAAATTAACTATTTATTTTTAATGCTGCTTCTTGTTTAGGGTTTCGTTGCGTTCAGTTCCCAAGGAGATCGCATAGCTCTAACTCAGATAGAGCAAGTTATAAACGGCAATTACGTCGTTTTGGGCTACTACGATACGCAGGCGGATAATTTAACTTGGTTCGACAGGGAAGTTTGGAGTGGTAAGTTTAACTATTATTTAGTTCATCAATTTTCTTAGGAAATATTTATTATTTATTGGAAATATTTAAGAAGATCAGAGTTATTCCATGTTTTCTGTGTATCGTTTTATGAAATGCACGTAGTTGAGAGTGTTGCACTTTTACATCGATCCGCAACTCAAGAAGAAATAAAATACTTAACTGCACTTAACTTTTTATAGGTGGTAAAGTGCCTCAAGATCGAACAATCATTAGGAGAGTACTACGTACCGTTTCCCTACCCCTCTTCATCTGTATGTGCATCATCTCCAGTTTAGGCATTATAGTCGCTGTTGGCCTTATAGTTTTTAACATCTGGAATAGCCATAGAAGGTAAGTGCACCCTTTTTTAACAAGTATTATACATTACATTGTATCAAATACAAAGAACTAATGGAAATTTATAATATGTTTTACTATTAAAAAGTAGTTATTGCATATAATATAAATTCATAATAGATTGCCCCTCTACACTTCAACTATTTAGTTTATATAAATTCACTGCAGTACGTGTGAAGTATCACTTCCAGTGATATAATCAATGATCTAATCGTTTTAACCTTCATATATTAAGCCGTTTATCCATTATGTATAAATAAATTATATTAAAATTAGACAATAAATATCAATACATTTTGTAAGCATTCGTATATAATTTTACACCTATATTTATTTATTGCTTTACAATCTCGTTATTATAACTAAATTAACAACAAAGAAATTATTTTAATTGTTGAAAATGCCGAATAAAATATAGAGATTCTTTGTAAAATCAAATGTTTTTCTACATTTATTCAATCTTGTATATATTTGTTTCATAAATTATATATTTCAATTTAATTTGTGTATTTGTTGTAACAAATGTTCTATTTTCTTGTCATATTAACAGTTAGTAGTATGTGCAATTTTTAAGATAGGAATGAACTAAATATGCTACACCCGCAAAAACTAAATAATTTACAATAAGTTAATTGGTATAATTAAAAAAAAGTAATAACTTCAAGTTTTCTGAAAAAAAAATACCGATTGATTTTTATTTTTTTTCAATATATAAATTTAATATAAAATCATCAAGTTATAATCTTTATGCATTTCAAAGTTTAATTATTTAATAATTTATAGTTTACATGGACATTATTTTATGCAAGAACTAAACAATCCATAACATTAAAAAATGGGTTTTCGTGAAATACTTAAGTTAAATAAAATATTGACATTAGAAACATTAACGTTAACGATAATATTAATTAAAGTTTTGGTGGAGATTTGCTGAATATTAGAATATTATATCAAATATTCAACTTTTCTTCTTGCATTGCGAAGTTCCTAATGAGCTAAGTTTCAGTAAGCTCACCCGATAATAATCTTGCTATTATATATAGTTTTACTTGTATTAGAAAGACATACTTAGCAAAGTAAGCTCAAATAAAATAATTTACTAATATCTGATACATTGATTTTCTACATACAAATATTGTTGATATTTTAAATTGAACAAAGTTACATATTTTTACTTTATACCATCACTGTTAATTAGATGAAAATACATAGGAAAAATTCAATATTTTTACGGTATATTTTTGTTTGATTGAATTAATACGAATTAATTCAATAAAGATTTCCTTTACTATATCAATTTATTTCTAAATTTGTACGTAATAATTTTTCGGAATAAAATGAGCAAAGCTAAAATTTATCATAATATATCTTGAAAGAATAATGGAATTTTTTGTAGAGATAAAGTCTCGACTTCCTTCTTCCAATATGCACTTTAAACTTAGACACTACGATTACAATATGATTGATGCCATTCGATTGTGCGATGAAAAATTGAACCTGCCACGAATTCGCCCTTCGTAGTTATCACCTTGAAATTGATGACGGCATTAATGTATGCAGCCGGAATTAGCTCGTCTGGATATTACACACAACAAATTTGCTTAATCCTCTAATTGATAAATCAACTAATGTTGAACCAATAAATGGATTAGTTTCTAGATTAATATCCGAATAATTCAAATTTAATTATATGGTGTATTTGTGATGTGTGTGTATGTGTTTGCACAGGGGGTTGTTACAGCCCTCTGTGAACTGGAGACAGAGCGAGAATGTTATATGAATATCAGCTGGACTAGCAAATGAGTACTTCCTACATCGTCGTAATCAACCCTAAACTATAATTTATAGCTACTTAGAAGCTAATTTAATTAAATGTTTAAATTATAACGTGGATATAGTATTAAATTTAATGTTTTTATACATTGGATGGGAGTAGTGTTTCTTTTGAATCACTTCTGTCAATGTTAGAATTATATAGTTTTTGCATTTGTCAGTTGTTAACTTTAACTTTCTTAAAAACCAAAATTCATTAAATGGTAAAACCTTCAATGATAAGAACGCTATGATATTACACCTAGTTCAGTTTTTTTGCTCATAATAAAGAGCGTGCGATAATGAAGTTGACGGAAAGGTTTTGCCGGTCATTGATCAAAATGGAAAATATATTAGTGAATAAAGGACACGGCCGCCGATTTGTCTCACTGATATGTACGTTATAGATAAAGATACGTAAAAATCATCAGATAATCGTACATTTTCTTACCGCATACTTTGCCAAATTGATATTTGTTTTGTCAATAATTTCAAATGCAAACAATTAATAAGCATATACACTAACTTTAAAACAAGTTTGTGCTTAGATCTCAGAAATTATCAAAATTTTCAATTGGAAAAACAAGAAAAAATTTCTGTTCCAAAATAATTTAGTAAATATTTTATAAATATGAATATATCATGCGGTTAAAAACAATATAGAGATTAATTATAATTGAATGAAAACAATCAAAAACATTAATAATATGAAATAAAGCACTACCGGTATATAATAAATGGAAGGTCATAAACAATTATATATAGAAATTACGCAGAGGATGAATGGAACGCATTCATAAATGCACAAAACACAAAAATGATATGGCATATCCAAAGCACGCCGATTGATTTGTAATTAATTTCGCAGTGTTAACGAATTAATCAAATAATTCACGAAATGCGAATACAATATGCGCACCCGTTGTTAGAGAGAAAGGCGAATTCCAGTTGTTATGCTGTTTTTGACCTGCTTACCGTTTATTCAATTAATAACAATTGAATGTATTGTGTCACGCATTTACATGCAGTACTATTACAATACTGACCATCCATTAAACAGTGATTTCATATATTTAATCACAGCTTTACGTAATGCGATTATAGTAAGCAGATTATTGGTATTATTGAAACAATGGGGTCATTTGGTTTTCCCAAAAATTATAGAGAAATAAAATCATGCTTATTTTTAATTGTATTGAGTTGATGCATAATCGTTTTTTAAACAATATTTATTATGAAAACAGAAACATAAAAACTCTACAATTACATTTTTAAATGATTATTCCAGAATGTAGTCACCATCTACTTGAATATCTGCTTCCCATTTGCAAATATTTAATTAAATAAAGTAAACACAACAAATAAAATTATTAACAAAAAACCGCCTATAAAAATTCCTGTATATATAAAAAAAATACATATACAAAGGGTTATTGGCAATAGATTAATTTGGTGAATATGAAAATGTATGAAATAAAGATAATTATGAAGATATAAAGACAAAAAAGTTATTAATTATAGTTCTAAACGTTAAAATTGATTAAATTGAGAATAATTGTTCTTGTAGTTTTAAAAATGTCTTATGTCTCTGATATATAATACAAAATTGCCGAGATAATCTTTTACCGGTAAACAATAAATATTTTATGTAAAAACCGATTAACCAGTTAACGTTAATATTCTAATTTAATTTATTCTGTGAATTAAAATGTGCACACAGAATACAAATCCAATTTTATGTCTTAGGACTTAGACTTATTCGAATTTTAGTACAAATTGTAGAATAAATGTCGACACTCAAGAATTTCACTATGGTGTAAGGTGGAAATATCATTTGATTTTTCTTCAATTGAATTACAAATTATCGATGTTTGTTATCAAAATTTATCGGTAATATCATATTAGCCGGTAAAACCGATTAACTATTTCCCGGTAATAGAATATTGATGTATATGTTATCGTTAATGTAATATATCGATATTTTAAATATACTTATTATTCATTTTATATTTCATGATATTTAAATTACTATTACTATATTTTACTCCTAAATTTAATGTTATCCCAGAAGATAAATTATAAAGCTAGTAAAGATATTGAAAAATTGATTGTATACATACATTATTTTTAAATAACTATGTTCATATTATTTTTTTCCAGAGTCATACAATCATCGCATCCCGTTTGCAACACAATAATGTTATTCGGAGTGATCATATGTTTGGTCAGTGTATGTCTGCTAGGTCTGGATGGTCATTTTATTCCTCCAGATGCCTATTCCAGCTTATGCCAAGCGAGGACATGGATCATAACCATAGGATTCACACTTTCTTATGGAGCGATGTTCAGTAAAGTGTGGCGTGTCCATCGACTGACCACAAAGGCCAAAAGTGACCCGAAGGCTAGAGCAGTAAATATTTATTCTGATATATAACATTATTACACAAGCAACAGATAAGTGGTTCTATTTTAAGGAAAGCTTATTTAGTGTTAAGACATTAGTACACATTGAATACTTTTAAATACTAGTAAACTCTCCTCTTCTTCTACTTTAAATATTAAACTTATTTTGATTCGCCATCTTTTGGATTAAAAAGTAAAAAATGCTCTTTAATTGCAACCAAAATATGTGTGCTATTATACAGAAATATCATTTTTACATGGTAATTAACTTATGAAATTTTTAATGTCCTTGAATCAATTCTAATACTGTTATACATTTATATCGTATTTTGAAATACAAAACATATTTATAATAAACCTTACCTTATTTTTATATGATATCTCTTACTTATTTATTGTTAAAGAAAAATATTTTTATAACGATTCATATTCTCATATATTATATATATCACGTATAGTATGGATGTAGAATTATTAAACCACTTGAATGGTAGTAATGGGAATGACTCAGATTGAACTAACAGAAAATTTCTACCACTGTTGTTGCAGAAAAAGGTGCAACCCTGGAAACTGTACTCGATGGTGGCCGGATTACTGGTAATCGACTTTGTACTACTCTTAGTGTGGCAGCTCCTGGATCCTCTCCTGCGGAAAGTCGAACTATTTCCTTTAGAAGATCCAATTTCCGCGTCTGATGACTCAAAGATACTACCCGAATTGGAGCACTGCGCTAGCGAGAACAATATAGTTTGGCTCTCGATCATCTACGGCTACAAAGGGCTCGTTCTGGTTGACAAAGCGAAATCGCGCAGTCTTCCTATAAATTAAAATGATTGAAATGTTGCAGGTGTTCGGATTGTTCCTTGCATACGAAACTCGATCTGTTAAAGTAAAACAGATAAACGATTCCAGATACGTAGGCATGAGCATCTACAACGTTGTCATTCTATGTCTGATCACTGCCCCCGTGACCATGGTCATTGCCAGTCAGCAGGACGCGAGTTACGCGTTCATCGGTCTTGCAATTGTCTTCTGCTGTTTCCTGAGCATGGCCCTGATATTCGTGCCGAAGGTCATCGAAGTTATCCGTCATCCCAAAGATAAGGCTGAGAGCAAGTACAATCCGGACGCGGGGGTCTCTAAGGAGGAAGAGGAAAAGCTACAGAAGCTTGTCGACGAGAACGAGGAGCTTCAAAGATTAATAGCACAGGTATAATATTAGCAAAAACGAGCATCTCATTAAATTCAAATAATAGATATTACGTGGAAAAGATGAAAGAAAGTAATTACATTTTTATGAGAATATTTTACAAAGAAGAATACATCCAATTAAATTTAATATTTTTGCTTTATAACGAGCAATTCGAAATGTAACAAGTCAATAAAAACATGTATAATTTAGTAAGAAATGAAATAAAATTTTCATTAAATATACTCTCAAATGTAAATGTATATCTAAATTTATAAATTATAATACTGTAAATTTCACATTAAATATAATATCAAATAGTATTACTATTAGCCCTTTGAAGGGCCAGAAATTCCTAAATTTCTAGATCCAACAAATTTCTAGACAACAGAATCAGACCACCTTGTCAACTTAATGATCATCGGATGGTGTGGACTATGAAAACTGATCGCTTGATATACCATAAAAAGTAAAGGGTAATTCCTCTTTCCTGGATATTTTCTAGAAAATCATAATAATGCCGACTAGGCATGTTAAAAAGGTTGTACAATGCTTGTCCCACTTCCCCTCAAATAGTTAAATAACTAATTGCACTGGAAAAAAAAAACAAGTTACAACAATTAAGAGTTTTAATTGATATATCGAAATAAATGGTCGATGACCAAGAATCATTATCCAAGGCCAAGCATCGCTAGCTTATTTGGAGTAAAGAATCATATTTAAGATATTTTTTAATATAAAAAAATATCTAGGGAGCCGCATATATTCCTATTTTTGTTAGTGGGAACTGGAAGCCACAAAAGAGCCACGGGTTGCCGACCCCTGTCTTATACACTAGAACTTAGTAATATATATCGCATTTGCATATATCAAGTTCTTATATTATAAATTTAGTGACATGGTGTTTGAGAACCATGCAACGTGAAGTATCTATAAATATTTTCAGTATATATCTAGCAGAGTTACGTAAATAGAGGCATGCACATTGTTAACCGCGAGCGAAAACTCTTGTCGTACGAGTATATAGGTGTACTGTATTCTGAAAGTTACTCGGTATACTTCAGTATTTTTAAATACACTTTAGTTATTGATCTCTAAAGCACTTTATTGCTACCATTACTTAGAACTAATTGTATATCAAAATGACAATCAAGAGGACTTTTTACATAACAAAAATAATATCAAGACATCTTTGCAATTTTTTATCAATTAAGTGACGTAATATATAATTATCAATTTATCTTGTATACTTCATTCCATATCACAAATGAACTAGAAAAGTAAAATGAATTTTTGGAAAAGAACTTTTTCGTTTTAAACTTTCTAACTAAATTCTGCTCTTTCCTTCTGAATTTACTTAAAATTTTGCATATATATTTTTACGACTTTCGACTTTTCTCCGAAAATAAAAAGTGAATCATTAAAGCTTTAATAAAGTGGACTATAATTGAAAAAAGAAAAAAACTTTAATAGAAAATGTTTTCTTAATTTATGAACTAGAAACAGTGTAATATAACAATATTGTCGATGTAACTCGGTGGTAATAAAACATAATCCCGATATTAAGTCCCGGGGTGTAGAGGCAATATACAAAGAGGGGAGACAAGCAGCAAAAAAAGGCATCCAGAAACGAGGTCAGAAAGTCGCACAAAGAACTAATTAGAGAAACTCGAGGGAAAACTTTTGGTATTTATAGCCGGAAAGTTTCCTGCTAAGACTTGGTCAGACGGACGCAAGAAGAACAAGCGTCCATCGTCTGCTCCTTGCATCCTCCCACGCGAACAAATCCAGCTTTCATAAATATAAATCTAGTGTTGTTTTCTCCATTTCGATCATTTTCCCTTTATATTCCTGTTTGTAAATTCCAGAAGGAAGAAAAGATTCAGCTGCTGAAGGATCGATTAACCGAGAGGGAGTCGAAAGGAGGAGGAGGCAATACGGGCATCCTTCTCGTGCCACCTACCATCACCCAAGGTAAGGAAAACCTGATCATCGCCGATTTCATTACTGATGCTGGGACTTCGGACTCCGCCATCGGCGGTGGACTCTCTATTTACACAAGATCCAGCAGAGCAAGCCAATCCGATATTGAATTTAGCGAAAGTTACCTTTAGATAAATACAAACAAAGAAGCACGCCATTCACGAATGTACACAACTTTGGAACAAACACCATCAACAAATTGAATTACTTCACAGTATACTTCTGCAAATTGATAACCGAACTGGAATTCCAATTCAGGTCTTTTCCACGATCTGCATCCATTTTCTTTATCAAATTATTCATGTTGTAACACAATAATAGAATAATAGTATTCATCAGTGGCGGCACGTAAAAAAAATATAATAATTTTGAACAATAAGTTTAAAATAAATTAATATTGATGGAAAATATTAAATTTGTATATATTTACAAAAACAAGGAACATACACTTTATACTGCAGCTCCAGCTTCGCAGTCTTTCTGCACGTGTTACCACTGGTAGACATATTATTAGTTATTAACCCTACATGTTTTAAATTTGATCAGAAAATACACCCTATATACAAACATGTCTTCGAAAATCAACTTTGTAAATATTCCACTAGCTAGTGTAATCTAAGTGTATAATTAGTTAATCATCTATATATAATTTGGAGTTAGCAATTGAGGTCAAAATTTACATTGAACACCACAAAGAGCCTCCTTGGTGGCAAGCAAAATTACACGTGTCGATGGCAAAGTCCTGTGGCTTCCAGAAATTGAACTCGACTAATTGAATCAAACTCTCGCTTTGGCCCTCGTGTCCAATATTAACTCAATTAAAACTCCTAACGGCATTCCCTCAACTTTTTCCCTATGAATGTTTGCAACACTAATTACTCGTTTACTTTATACTTCGTCGTCCTTCATTTTTCACTATCTCTGCACAAAATTAGCTAAATAATTAAATATAAATAAATACCGAGTATAATACTCACAAATTGTGTGCAAGCCCGCAAGAAAAGCACGTGTTCGTATTATACACGTATACATAAAAAAAAATCAATATTTTTAATATTAACTAAAATCACATTGCACTGGTCTATTAGATTTTCATAAATGCGAAAAAAAAACTTTTTATGAAAATTATGTTCTGTTTATTTAAATTATTGTGATCATTCATCATTCAATCATTGTACACAAGTGCGTATTATATTCGAGATTCTATGACACTCAATGTTGTTAACTTGTACATATCCCCTTAAATGTATATCTAGTCGAACGAACACTTTCAACAATTGTTACAGAAACAAATAACCGAAAGTCGGCGTAGATCTTGACAATCCAATATTATTATAAAAATCACACGCACACTTCTCCCAATGTTTGTACTGTGTCAATTAAAACTTTGCATGAAATTCATGTGAAAAAAAGGAAACAAGCTCATTTCACCAACAAACAAAAAAAAAACACAAATTTTGTGATTTGGCTGATTGGAAATTGAAATTTGAAAATTTAATTTTTTTATGTTGTTTTCGAAAAAAATTAATTGGATTTTTTTTCTTGTGAATCTCAGGTGTGAAATGGGCTTAGAATCGGAAGGTAAAATAAAGATAATTATAATGAAAAATGCATGTACATTAACAGAAATAAAATAATTCTTAGCGAAACCAATTCACGCGCTTGAATTCCCCGATATGCATGTTGATCCTTCTTTCTGCTGTAGCTGTAGTTTAACATTAGTTTCTTAGTTTTCTTTTTATAAGTAAGTTATATCTCGTTATAACATAAAAGAAAATCAGTGTTTATTTGTAAATAGAGAAAGAATTCTTCTGGCTCCCAAAATGTTTAAGCAAACAAAAAAATGTTTATGTTGTAACGAGATGCGTGTTAATCAGTTTTTTTATAGTATTTATATTTATTTATAATATTAATTTTGGGAGTTAATTGAAGATTTCTTTCTTTTTTTCTGTGCAGATACCCAAGATGAACGTATCTAACAGCTGCAACTTCGGATGATATTTTTATCTGGTTGAACATTACCGAAAAATAAGAAAGAAAATATAACGAAAACCACGCTTGTTTAGTTTAGCCACAAAATTTGCAACAACCACAAGAACAACGGAAACGTAAACACAATCAATCCATTTTTTATTTAGATATATATTTTGATTCTAAACAAACGTGGGAAACTATTTACTTCGTCACAAAATATTGAAAAGTCCAGAAAAGCAAACACATTTTCTAATAAATTAATAAGGAGAACTTAATAAAAAAAATATATACAAGTTGCATTGACTGAGATTATAAGAATTTATATAGGAACTTTTTATATGTTTTAAGAAATTTAAAAAAAAATGGAGTAAAAAATTTATATATTATATAAATTAAAGAAAATAATAAAAAGTATATTAAAGTGAGGCGATAAGCGAGTAACTTTCAAGTCAATTCACACATACTTATAGTCAGATTATTTGGTTACTTTGACTACTTTCAATTTGGTTACCATTGTAATTCAAGGAAGCTGAAGTAAATGAAACTTGTGAGCTAAGACGTCTTAGCGAAATACCTTATAGTGAGAAAAACAGCTCAATGTGTGTAGTATTTTGTCATACATTAGGAAATATTTGCTACTTGGAAACGAATACATTCATTCTAACGCTTTAATCGTGAACGTTTTTTAAGCAACATCGAAATCGCCCATTCTTCAAAATTTTCTGTTACATCTGTAAACTAACCAATCGCTTGTATCCAAAAAAATAATGATACAATGCAATTATTAAAAGCGCGCTGTGTTTAGTTAGTAAGATCGTGGAATAAACGAACAAAAGAATTCTAAATGTTGTGATAGATGGGTTAGTGATGGAATTGGATTCTGGCGATTGGTGAATTAGTTTGCAAAAATAAAAAATAGAAAAATCAGACGATACACTCAAATCATTGGTTAGTGATCTCGTCAATCTCAATATAATTTATAGCCACATTTAATTAAATAATAAAAAAAAATAAAGTAATATATACAGATAATAAACCAAAAAAAATCTATAGTTAAATAATGGATATCGAAATTGTTAAATATAGATGATTTATAGAAGAAGATTGGATGTTAGGCGTTGTTATAACGAGATGTACTTATTTATAGGAGAAAAGAAAACTGTTAAACACATATATTCCTATACGATTTAATGTTTACAGTAAACAAGTAAAAAATAATAATAATTTTTAATGAAAAAAAAATGGGAAAGAGTGAGACAAAGAGAAGTACATTGTTGTTACATCAAGCTTCGTTTCTTTGTTTTCTTTTTATGTACATACTAAACAATTATGAATATTTTGTAACTTTATTTTCTAAGTGTTGGGCTTTGAATAAATTGTTTATATTGTTCTAGAAAATAATGAGAGAGAAAATAAATATAGATAATGAAAAATGTAACAAATCCATAGATGAAGATTTATTCAAGGCTCAAATGATTGCAATAGATATTACATATACGAAATGTTAAATTAATGTAGCAATATTTTAGGGCAATTGATTTTTTTTGTTACGTTTTTTGTATTGTTTATTTGCTGTTTTGTAAATAAATGTATTTGAAGGACAGCAATAAATTTTTGCGATCTATGCGAAAATTTGTTGTGATTGCATTTGCCATACCCCATTACGGCTCAAAATGAGGTATGGCCATAAAGCAATAGCGTTACGTTTTGTTTTCTCGATGATTTTTTATTATTATATACAGTTATATATGAAGAAAATCGAGTGTGTTATTTTATTTGTTATTTTTATTTTTATTATGATTAATATTATATAAGTACAGTAAATAAGTATTTAATATAGTACCTATACATCGCAGTTTTACTGTCAGACTATGTGTTCAGAACCCAATCAGCTACCTAATATTATATTAAATATAAGTGTACAAAATAATATGTTTTTTTCATTTATTAAACAAGAAAAATATTTTAACATATTTCAGATATTTTTTTGTCATTTTAATGGTAAGTATTGAAATAAACTTAAATTATTATGTGTAATAGTGATAATAAATAATAACATTTGTATTGTTTAGATCAGATATGCATGTATAACATTTAAAATAATTGTAAGCAAGAACGAAAACCGGAACGAAATTTGAATGACGGTTCATTTCGATTCACTTTTTGTCATTAAATTAATTTATTAATCGATTTCTTCATATATACTCCATGTAGAAATATCATACTTCTAGACATTTCTTTTTAATCACAAAACAGTTGTTACAAAAAATATGATGGTGGATAAAGTGAAGAAGAATTTTCGTTTGAATCCGTTTCATTCGGAACTTTTTTCAAATTTTTATTTTGCGATTCAAATTTCGGATATGAACCGAAACTGAACTGACATTTTTAGACAAACCGAAACCGAAGCTGGTACGATAAACATTTACTTGGAACTTAACCGTGAAACGGAACGAAATTTATTTTGCTTCGACCCTCTACTAAGTTGGATGAGAGGAATGTATATCAAAAATTTTAATACAATTTTCTATATTTTATATATTAACTAATAAATACAAACATAAATTATCAATTAATATTAATTACTTATTTTAAGTTGAATTAAGTATTCAATTTAATTAATTGTTATTAAAAACAAGATACACATAAAAATAGTCAAGCTTTTAGTATTATTCATATTTTCTGTTTGATATTCTCTTACATTTGTTTAGTCTTTATATTCATTGTTTGTGAAAGTTGCCCAATGTTGAAATTCATACTTGTCTAAATTGAACCGATCAAATGGGAGGAAATCCCGAAAGTAGTTCCATTTGAATAAAGGTAAAATTTAATTTAAAAAAAAATCAAGCTAATAAAATTATTAACTTTTAAAAATGTTATGTTCTTGAAATAAAAAATAACAAAACGAGAAGCATTTGTATTTTATCTGCAGAAACTAAGAAAGAGCATATAAGTACAGTGGAACCTCGTTTAACGAGCACCTCACCTAATGAGAATTTCGCTTAGCGAGCAAAATAAATTATAATAAAAATGACTTGCTTAACGAGCGACGTTTCGAATAACGAGTGACGATGAGAAGAGAAGTCCCGGATTGCGCGTCCGGATTGCGAATGTGTATTTTTGAATATGTTTCACTATACGAGTAAAAATCCGAAAATTTTGGAACGGATTAAGCTCGTTAAGCGAAGTTCCACTGTATATGAAATATTAGGCAAACAGAAATTTTACTGAATTATACTTAGGAAAACGATAGTTAAGCCAGTAATCCATCCATCAATTTTATTTTCACTTTTAACTATTAACTTTTATTTGTAATGCACTTTTGTTATAATATTTCTTTCTTAAATAAATAACAATATTTGATTAAAATTCGGTGATCCTGTCCCATATTAGATTGTTTACTGTAAATTTTTCAATTTTTATAAACATTAAATGAAGTAAAACTGCCGATTATCCGGGTTCAATTTACAGTAGTCTGTCTTACTTATTTTATAAGCTCAACAATAAAATTTTCTCTGCAAATTTTCTGTTTAGTAAATGTACATTTTGACCTATACATATATATTAAGTTTTTAAAGCAAATAAAAGCGATGTTTGTATTACCCGTGCTCAAATTTTCTACGGATAATCGGCGTTTTATATCTATAATTTATAAGTAAATAATGAGTGAATAATGAAACAGTCTAAGATTGAAAATTGAGATATTGAAATAACCACACAAAGTGGTTTAATTATTTAAATAGAGTAAAATTGCATATGCGTCATGTAATATTGAAGGACGTATTAAGGAAACCATATATAACCGCAAATGACGTACTTATTTTTAGTGGTCAAAATATTATAAACTTAATCTAATCTACGTGGAATATATGGAAATCACTAAGTAATGCTTAAACGGAGATTTCCACAAAAATATAATCAGATGCTGTAGAAACAGTGGCGAAACATGAAAACTTTGTCTTCCCCGCAAAATATGATTCTGGTCCGGGGCACGAACTTTTTAAAAGCGAGTTATGGTTCATAAGGTCTAATCAAAATTGAACTTCGGAGCCCAAACCAAATTTGATTTGAAGGAGAAAATATCAAAGATGAAGATGAGGGGTGTAGTTGTTTCACTATTAGAGGTCCCGAAACAAATGTTTATCTTTAATTATAGTTTGTTCACTGACCAGAATGTGAAAATAACGAAAATAATAGCTCAGTCAATAAACCTTCTTAACAATGAAGACACTAACTGATAAATGTTAATAACTATTATTTTTTTGAACGAGATCTATACATTAAACTTAGTTATAACTAAATAATAACTGCATATTGAATTAGTTATATAAAAACATTAATTATAATAAAAATGTGAAGAACAATAATATATTAATCATTTTTTCTGAACAATCAGTTTAAGTTGAATTATAATCTCTTTCCTACGCAAAACTATAACTTTATATTGCATTATTGAAATCTTTTATTGAAAATTATATGAAAACTGAGACATTTTGGATACATAATACTTATAGCAATATAGCGATATATACAAAAAATAATACCAAAATAATACCAAAATGATCTACAAAATGTTAGTAATAAATGTTGTCTTATTTAACTATTTGTTTTAAATATCAATAAATTATAAATTCATTTTACTGGTTAAAATGTTGATACACCTATCATAAACAAGCCTATCCATTTTCATCATCTTTCACGCGTATATACATGTGGCTATTATATCTTTAAAAATGAGTTAGACAGAAATTTGACAATAACTAACATTATTTAAATGGTATCATGTCGTGGCTTATTTAAGATCTTATCAGTATTCATTTAATAATGTTTCCATTTTACTACTTATAGAAAAATAATGTAATCTATCAAACGTTTTCATACATTGAAAGTGACAACAAATTCGTGTAATCACCCATACTGGCAGCATCATTACGCTCTTCTTCATCTACCAATAATTGATTTCTTGTAGCCACAAATACAAACATGTAATGCTCCTGAAAAATAAATAAATTGAACAAACACAAAATTAAATTTTATGAAATTAAAAAAATCCACACCAAATTCCTCATGAAATCATCTCGATGAAATCTTAACGCTCTGGCCACATAACAAACATCATAAACTTTCTCCTGCATTAGTTTTAAATGGACGTAAAAACAAGTTAAGAATATTCCGCACCCTGTTGCTCCATCACTTTAAAAATAAATAATAATTACGTTGATTAACCGAATTTATATTCAAATAAATTAGATTTACCTGCACGTTAAAAGTATCTTTGATTTTCGAGCGTTACTGATGAAATGTTTATAGACTTTTTGGAAGTTAGTAACTGTTGGCAATGTATCCCTAGGCCAACATTTGACTTCAACCAACTGAATTGATCGCGAACTCTGAAAATTGTGCACATTATTTACAAATGTTCACTTCATTTGCAATAATCTTACTTTATTCCTTTTATTCATCAGCTTCAGTTGTTTGACACTGTAGATTTCGTTATCACTTTCTGATAGTAAAGATATTTCGATGTAAGTTGTCGGCTTTAATTTATGTTCGGTTTTTGTTGGCCAAAAATAGGGACAATCCTGAAATATAAATATTCGAGTTAATTGTTATTAATTATTGTATAAAATTATTTCTTAATAGCGACATCTATGTATATTTGCATGAAATAATACTGGAATTCAATTTTGAATAAATTTAAAAAATGTGTTCGGGATTTAGTTCGAAGGACAGACTTCTAATAAATACTAATGGAATCTTGTTTGTGCAGATTTTAGAAGTAGAAAGTCGCCGACAGTTGCGTTACCTCTAACCTGTAAGTATTTATAAATTTTATAAATAATCTTTCATACATTAAATTAATATAACAAACTGTAAATATAAAATTATCTACAAGTTATTTAATTATTTGCTTTATAATTATCTAAATCTTAAAATATTCCATAACTTATGTACATATAGATTAAGAAAGTTGTTTAAATAAAAGTAAAAAATACTTACATTTTTGGATTCAATATTATGCAAAGAATATATCAGTGATGCTTTCGTTTCATCTACGAGACGCCAAAAATCACAGATTGTTGTTGGCAAAGGTTGCTGTGCACAAATCAAACGCGATTCTATGCGAACAGCATTAATATAGTCGCCAAGAGATTCATCGATGTTTCTTTCAAGATAAATAAAATACAAATGGCCTAAAATCAAATAGTGTAAACACAAGTTTTAAAAATAACATGTTTTAATCATACTTTTGAAGACATGTTTAGATCTGTTTTTATCAATGTTGTTTTGGTAACTTGGATTTATATATCTACCCAAGATGTCCAACCAGTAATCATGATTATCAACAATTGCTTTTGAATGAATCAAATGTTGTCTCTCCGACAATTGAGGGTTTAAATCAACCTCGAGTATCTCAGATGGACTACTGTTTATTAATTCATTCACGACACAGTAGCATAATTGATATTGCAACTTGATTAAAGAAAAACACACATACAAAGTTAAGTTTCTAATTAGTAAGTAATGGTGAGGAACGAACCTTTTCCTTGATCATACAGCTGCGACACGACCGAAGTTTCATTAACAACAATGGAAAATCCACTTTCTTAATTTCTTTTGCCATGGTGAAAGCACTGTGAGATAGTATGAAAGCTCCAGTTCGCCCAATACCGGCGCTAAAAGAAATATCACATTGTTTATAGCTTCCCTGGTGGCCACGTTTTTTTGTAGCTAGCGTATTTTCGCATGATGCAAATATATTCGTCATGCATGACGCCACTTAAGGGATTAATAATTTCTAATACCGTACCTGCAGTGCACAACAATTGGAAATGTTTGAACAGAAATTATTTTTCTAAGGAAATTTACCAAACTCGGGGGTCTTATTGGCACGCTGTTGTCGGGCCATGTTGTAAAATGATATTGAACCACCTAAAACGTAAATATTTCTAAATGATTTTACAGAGTATTAGGGTAGAAATGCCTAATTTCATTAGGATTTCTAAAAAAATCGTATAATCGTAATTCGATTTTTATAGATAACCTAAACCACCTATAAAAGTAGCTAAATTGAATAAAGATTACAATAAAAATTATTATAAGCAATATATATTATCTAAAATTAAACTTAATTTATGGAAACGTCCCATACGAGGTTTTAGATATCAATTGTCTTCTGCTAGTTAGCAATTGTAGTACTGTTTAGGTTATCCAAAATTTGTCATATATCATTTTAAAGTATACTTATTTAGCTATAATTTTCGATAATTGTATTAATAATAATTAAAAACTATGATTAGCGTAATAATTTCCTTTTTTGTTTATAAAGGTTGTTACGTACAGTTGCCTAAATTAGGCAGTTGTACTAACAAGCAAATTGTACACATTTATGATCAGAAATTAAAGTGCAAAGTGAGTATCAAAACCTAACAATATTTTTAATTAAATTTTGCTATATTAAACTAAAACTTAAAAAATCTATCCGAGGATACATATTTAACTATGGCGTACAATGTCTTAAATATAACATTATCACATCACTATTATCTTCTATAATTGTTTTTAAAATATATTATTTTTGATGACAAATATATAACATGAATAATTTACCAATATCGGTCAATTTGACCTATTTTAAAGTTAACCGCATTTATCTTCTAAAATTTGATAATCTATACAAAAGAAGCAAATTGACTTCCTTATGACTTATAAAACAAATAATGTCAATGATACATTTACACAGTTATTACATCTTCTAGTTGGTTGATAGAGTACAGACTTATAACTCCAAGTTAGAGCACCACATTTTAAATATTCTAGTTTGAAGAAATATATCTATTCCAATAATAACTTTGAATGTTTAAATAAAATTAGGTGATCCAAAATCAGCAACCCTCCAGTATATTACTTACGTCTTTTACATCTTCGCCTAATGTGAGATTAAATGTCCTGACTTCAAAATCCAAATACTTAACCGACTTTTTGCAGTACACTTTAATGTATCCATACTTTTTGGCGGTCCTTTCCTCCGGCCAATACTTCTCACATTTCGCTTTATCATTCTCCACTAAATTCGTCAACATAACAATAATCGAAGCGCTTTCTTGCCACACCATTCTCCAAAAGTCCGTGAATGTAGTTTTCAACGGTCCTTGAGTCGCAATATACATATTTTCATCTTTATAATCCTAAAAGATATCTTCGGTTAATAAAATTTACTAATAAAAATACAATGATGAGACCTTAATGTAATTGGCGTTTATATATTCCGAATCTCCAGTTAATTTAACTACAGTGTTGACATCTGTAAATATATCAATGTATTTTTATAAAATTAATATTTATAACTCACTTGGTAAAACATTTACATAACGATTCTTCTTCGGGTATTTTGAACCGACGAACACGGATTTCGGTTGGGGTATATTCTTGAATCGTAACAGTTAATAATTTTCAAAAAAAAATATACAAAATAATTGATAATAATAATTACCGTATGTTCAAGTATAATAAAACTCGACGCATCATGGCTTAATAAGAAATCATTTAATTCTTCGTTATTAAATTTCTTGTAATAAATATCATGAACAACATCTGTCATGACGAACGTATCTGGTGAAATGGCTATTGTTGTTTTTTTTAATTTATAAATATATATAATACAGCATAGAATGATCACCAATGGAATCGCAGCTGTAATATATTTGAAATTATTAAATGCAATTGCACATTTTTTTGGTTCGAAACGGTATAAAAATTTGTAGTGTATATCATTTCCATATGTTCTTTTGAGGACTATGGCTACTTCGTGATCCTTGTTTACGAACATAACATGTTGCTCCTTTTTGGTGAGATTTATAACTTGTTCGAACAGATGAGATTTCTCACTCCACTTGATATCTTCTGGTATATTCGTAGTATTTTCATATTTGTATAAATATAATAAGCTAGAATACATAATCATAAATAATATTTTATTCTAAATGAAAATACTTACTTTTCGGCTGTAGTGACAATATTTTTTATATTTATATTAATTTTGCTGCACTCCACTGAACTGTTATCTATTATCGGAAGTGGAAAATCTGTCATTTTGTATATACAATACCTATCTATTAGGGTTCTACCATTATGTGGCAATAAGCATATACTGTATTTAGTATTAGGATAGAATGGTATTGAATTAGTTTTATATAAACTAATTTTGCCTTGTATGTCAAAAATATTGGGCATTCCATTATAAGTTACATTTATTTTGGTTAGATTATAGTCAAAATCAAATTCCCATGTAATTTCTATACTATCTGGAGAAATCTTTACTTTTATGTCTTTAACAATGGACATGTGTTCATTGTTTTTATCTGGAAATTAATGTACTACTTAGATAAAAATAATTTTAAATACAATTCAATAATTACCTTGCATATTTTTTTTTCCATCACAAATAATAATTACAAAACAAAACAGTAAAAATTTAACATACGCTAACATCGTTTTAATCTATTATACTGTACTTGAATATATAATTTATCGACCCAACGGAAATATTACTAATGTGATAAGAATTCACATACGATGTGAATTTATGTTATAAGTGACGGATTATAAATTGTAGATATTAAAGAAAAAAAATACATTTCTTTATTAATAAAGATGACAAATAGGCATTCGTGGACAGAAAGACCAATGGTCAATAGACTTTTGCTGCAATAAATCTTTTTTTATTTCATTATCGTCATATCTAAAGTTTAGAAACTGGAATATAAAACAATTTTTGGAATTTTGCAATTTTCTTTAAATAGCTACTATCAATATTTATATTTCCTGGAAACTTCTACAATTATCTAAAGGAAACAGTTTTGGTCAGTAATTCGATGAATTATTTTAATGTCAATTGTGAGTTCAATTATGAATTTTATTGATTCAATTACTTTATATTTAACAAACTGAAACAGACAAAAGACAAACATAATTGAATTAAACAGGTTAAGTGGATTTATAACATCTTGGACATTCATTATAAAAACCATAATAATTTTGAATTGTGAATGAAATGTTGAGTTCCTAGTATATTTGAATATTAATATAAACACACCATGATAATATTGTACATATATTTGTATCATGAGTAGAGACTGATACCTTTCATGATATTTCTTACACTATATAGTTTCAAAGATTTAGTAATAATACGAAATTCTTCCAGACACTGGTTCTGTAGTTGAATGAAATACAAAATTTAAATTACAAAATGAATCATGATTAACGTACTTAAATATACATCTAGTAATGAAAATATTCGCATTTCTTTCAATAATAATAACACTAGTTTAATAACTTAAGTTTCAAGTATACATTGATAAAAAATGTCTAAAAATACAATTAAATGTAATATTGAAAAATAACGTCTATTGATGTGAGCATTTTACATAACAATTATAATAAGAATATATAAAAGTTCAAATATTTACAACATAAACTAAATTACATATGAACTGTTTATTTGACGAATCTCATTTATTTGTGATGATTAAATGTGCGTACCATATAGAGTAAAAAGACCAATTTGTTGAATCGTGAATTCGATTATAACTTTGTTTATATTTGTCATTGATATAGTAAATAATATCTGTAGTTTGGATGTTTTCTCAAATATGTTACTATTTGATAAGTAACTAATCCTTGTCATAAACGTTATCTTATCTGTTCATATTCTCAAAACAAATCAGTTATTTAGTAGTATTTATAGTGAAATGAAAAAATAGTTGAGTGTGGTCATGGAACAAGGGCAGAAATCAATGAAAAATGCGAAAAAAGTATTAAAAGTGAAAAGAATTAAACCGAAATTGGTATTTGGCGGGCTTTCTGACATTTCCAATGTGCGACACAGAGCGACAACCGAACACCTAACCTAAAAAGGTGCGGTATTCGGCACGTGCAAAAAGAAGAACGATGCATTCGATACGAGGTCTTTGAAACGCGCTTTTCTTCTTCCAAACACATTCTGTTTGTATATCTGAGAGCAGTGGCATTGTAAGTTGGAATTAACCTCAATTACATTGAGGTTAATCAGGTGCTGAATGATGTAATGTGCATTTGTTATTGCAAGTGTTTGGTATTTCAGTTGAGCCATGGGTACCGGCGCGAACGGAGACTTGGCCTCGCCGACAGTGGAAATGCTGGTCACCACACCAACTGAAGATGATGGAAAGGTTAAGATGAAGAAGCAGCTGGGACTGCTGGAAGGAATTGCCATCATCCTTGGAATTATCTTTGGTTCTGGTAAGAATTCCCACAATTTATAGGTATTCCTGTATTGAAGTCATCCTTGTGTGTAGGTATTTTCATATCCCCAAAGGGAGTTATCCAGGAAGTAGATTCCATTGGGACTTCTCTGGTAGTATGGATTATGTGTGGATTACTGTCCATGATTGGAGCCCTTTGCTATGCCGAATTGGGAACAGCTATACCAAAGTCTGGTGGTGATTATGCATACATCTATGAATCTTTTGGACCATTGCCTGCATTCTTATATCTTTGGGCTGCAAATTTAATTTTTGTGTAAGTGAAAATCATTACATCTGTTGCATCCTCTAACTCTTAATTTGTTTACAGACCCACAACAAATGCCATAATGGGGCTGACTTTTGCCAAGTATGTAATTCAGCCATTCTTCACAGGCTGTGAAATACCAGAATATTCTGATACTCTAATTGCAGCAGCAACCATATGTAATATACAACATGTGTAAATGTTTTTATTTTTAATTAATTATGATTTGTTTTAGGTTTTCTAACGTTTTTAAACGGATATAATGTTAAAGCAACGACTCGAATGCAAAACGTGTTTATGTTTTGCAAAATTGGTGCTCTCGTTTTGGTCATCATTATTGGTGTTGTGTGGATGGGAATGGGACATACTGAGAATTTCGATAAACCTTTTGAAGGGACCACCGATAACGTCGGAAAAATCGCTAAGGCATTCTATTCTGGTATATTTTCTTACTCAGGATGGTAATTTTTTGTTTGCATTTTCCTTTAAGTTGTTATTAACATATGAAATTATTTTAGGAATTATCTCAATTTTATGACAGAAGAGCTTAAAAATCCTTATGTGTAAGTCTCTTCTATAAATGTTGAATCTATTATAATAATATTAATAATATGTTTATTTTAGAAATCTTCCAAGGGCAATTTATATTTCTTTGCCACTAGTCACTGGAATTTATGTATTGGCTAATATGGCATACTTGGCAGTATTAACACCTGAAGCTATGATCGCTTCTGATGCTATTGCGGTTGTAAGTTTCAAATATCTTTTAGAGAGAATAATCTCTTCAGTATAATCTGTTTTTTAGAGTTTTGGAACACGCGTACTCGGAAGTTACGCGTGGATTATACCAGTTTTGGTAGCTATTTCTGCTTTCGGTGGCTTGAGTGTCCACGTGATGGCGTCATCTCGAATGCTGTTCGTCGGCGCCCGCAATGGACATTTCCCAGAGTTCCTAGGTCATTTGAATATTGGTAGATACACTCCGATGCCTTCTTTAATATTTCTTGTAAGTATATTATTTCGTAAACATTTCATATTTCATTTTGCAAGGACTTTGGATTCGTGCAAGCTATTTTTGTAATTTGTTGAAATACGAGAATCAAATTTCAAAAAGTTTCAAGTTGGAATTTCTGAAAGGTATATTTAAAAATAAACATATTAACATTTCAATGGTTAATATAATAATTCAATACCTTTAATAATACTAGTTTCAAATTTCTGAATTCAAGTAAACATTTACAAATTTATTGGAAGCTTAAATTATGTAATTTTAAACCTTATTAAAATATTTTTTTATTGATATGCGCTTCATAAGCAGAAAGATAATGGTCGTAACAAAGGTATATTTGATCTTGGACTCTTTGATTTTAATATAACTACAAAAATATACTTCTAATAAGATTATTTCAATAATTTAAAAAATGTGTACGCTGTGCGAATGTACGTTGATTGATCTTCGTTCCTACGATCGTATTTCAGTTGGATCCTGAATTCTTGTTTTATTTAACATAACGCTTTAAGACAAAAGTCAAAGACAAACTTTAAATGTAACGCTGTCAACTGGTGCGACTGACATTGTGCGGTTAAAAGGCCTTAAATAATCGTAGACGTATGATCAAACGTATCTTGAAACTATTATATTAAGTAAGTCGCCATTTACTTAATTGCGATCATTATAGATGGATTATATACGTAGGATTAATATAATCTAGGTTGTACTCAATTGTAAAATGTGTCTCCAATTACAAGAAATCCTTGAATCAATTAGTAAAATGGAAGAGAGAAAAAAACATTATTTGAAAATTAATTCTTAATGATGTTAATGAACAGCTGTATAAATTTGATGCAAAAATTGCGTAATCAAAAACACTTCATTCATTTGTAATTGAATGATAAATGTACACTACTAGTATTTAATACTCTTCTTTCATCTTTCTAATTACTTTTTTGCTTTTATTTTCAGAATGTATTATCTTTGTTCATGTTAGTGACATCAGACATCCATAAACTAATCACCTACTGTACAATTGTCGAGTCTTTCTTCGTGATGCTTTCCGTATCGGGAATGTTGTACCTGAGATGGAAGAAACCAGAAATGGTTAGGCCGATTCGTGTTCATCTGGCAGTGCCAATAACCTTCGTAATAATATGCCTCTTTCTGATAGTAATGCCGTGCCTTGAGGCACCTTACGAAGTGGGTATGGGCACACTGATTACATTATCTGGTGTACCTGCATATTACTTTGGTGTTATATGGCAAGAGAAGCCAAAATGGATTAGGCGTTTCATGGGTAAGAAAGAAATAATACTTAAATATAAATTACTATTAAATTCTTCACACACTTTTTTGTTACAGCTGGCGTAACGTTCCTTTCGCAAAGAATATTTGTTGCGGCTCCAGAAGAGTTGTGAAAACCTGTTAACTTACTAAGTACCAAAGACGCTTCTCTGTTACATGAAAGCATTTACCTACTGAATTTGTAAATTCATTTACAATTATTATTTCTTAACTACTCTTAGTATTTTTTCGTTCTGTGTTTTTTTTTTATTTTGCGTCATTCGCTTAAATTATTTATTTTTGGTTTTTACGTGTGAAAGAAAACCATTACTGTGATTACTTTAGTTTGATTTTTTTAATGGTAAATGGCTGTATTTTTTTTTAACTTTTTGTTTTACATTTTTTTTAAAACGGAATAAAAATTTATAATTACAATGCCTCAATTATTTCCGAGCGTTTTTATATGGATCTGAATGTTCAAATCATAATTATGTTATTTCTAATATATGTTAATTTTCACAATCGTGCACATTTCATACAATAAAATTGTTAAAACTCAAATTATGTTCTTTTATTTTTCTTTGTTTGTCTCTTTCCCCACAATATTGTCTACATTTACCTATATTTTGGACCATAAGACTCCTGTTTACAAAGAAAATTGGACTAAAAATTGAAATATCCTTTTCTAAATTTGCTGCGCCTTATGGTCCGAAATTATGTGGTGTCAAGAAAGCTGTATTAAAAACAGAATTTCAAAACAAACTAAATTTTAATTGACAAATTAAATTAGTACACAAAACTGTTTTGTTATACATAAATGATCGTTCTTTTTCTCTTAATTCAGTTAACTTTCTATTTGTGCAGTTTCAAGGTTCTGGATATAGGCGGAACCCGCACTATGCGAGGAATTGCTGTATTTTATATTAAATCTAACAGTTTCCATTATCTGTTGTTCAGAGAAACAACCATTTTATATAAAAAAAATGAATTAGAGAGAATTCTTCATTACTTAATGAATTTCCATAATAAAATATAAGGATAAACTAAACAATTTTATTTTTTTTTTACAATTTTAATAGGCAATACATTCTTTAATTATATTTGTTACAAATAATTTTCGAGGCAAAATCTGTTAAATTTGTTGGATTTTCTACATTTTGTAATAAACATTAAACATAATGTTGCTTATCATAATGTGCATATACCTACAAAACAAATTTCAAACAGCGTTTGGTGAATTTGTGTTAGCCAGAAAGTTAGCAAAGATCTTGGGATAAAAATAATTTCAATGTGTTTTTTTCTCTTCAATTGATTTAAATTTCTTCATTCAAATCGTACTCTTCTTCAGGGAAATCTCCAGTTAATATATTCTGTGGTTTAACAAAAGCTCCATAGTTTTGAGCACATTCAAAATAACTTTTGTCTTTAAATCTATAAAAAAAACATGAATTTATTATGGTGTTGAATGGTTAAATTCCTTTAAAAAAGAAAACTTACGAGCCATTATTTTTGCCTAAAGGTTCATCATATTTAACACCTATCCAATAACCAGCCAGTCCTTCTACTTGTCCAGAGTACATGACTGTTCCTAATCTGGTAGCTGCATTTTTCACAGTAACTTTACACCTTGCACCTACACTAGTGGCTTCAGCTAAAGTCTGCTCCTCCTGTTCTTGCTTTTCCTTTTTCCTTTGGAATTCCTCATTGTATTGACCTTAAGTAAAAATCAAAATTATATAAAGTAATAATCTCAAGGCAATTGAAAACATACCCATTTTATTTTTAACAAGGAATGATCGCACTGAATCAGACTTCTTTGCGTATTCATCATCATGCATTTCATATTTTTCCACATTTCCAAAATCTAATTCTGAACGTAAAGCAAAGTTATCAACTACATGTAGTCTTACTCCACTCTCAATTGGATAAGAACCCAACATAGCTTGATCATCTGTCAAGGAGCATATGAGTTGATTATCTTTGTTGTATGCTTCGATTCTCATTGTGGCACAACTACCCCCTGTCATCAATTCCAGTTTTCCCTAAGTAATACAATAAGTTAGATACAAAAGATTTTGGAAGTAACTAACATACTTTCAGATCCAAAACTGTAATATCCTTTGGGAACCTCTTCTCATTGAACAAGGATATATCATCTTTCGATGTAGATATTTGAACATTCACAAAGTCTGAAGTGATTATTTTGAAATCTGCCATCTCTGTGTTACCGTTTCTTTACAATTTAAATATTAAAAAGTCACAAAAATCTAACTATTTATCACAGTTGTTAACATCCACACTAATGACAAATAACCGGAAAACCTAGAAAACACAATATACTAGACTTGAATGAATCAGATAAGGACAAACTTCGTTGCAATGCGACGAATGCGACACAACAGTATTACATCAGTGTTTTCTAAACTATATTCTATAAACTTCCATGATTAAATAATAAAAGTATATGTAACATCACTAACTCTCATTATTGCGCATATTATTTTGTTAATAACATTGAATGTATTAATAAATCCTAACATAAATGCTTCTTAATAGCAGAAAATACACAGAGCCATCTAGGGAGTTTTATATAAATTATTATTTGTTCTATTATGAGATTATACAAATTACAATTAGTAGATAGAATATTTATACGTAATTTGTATTAAACTTAAATGTTTAAATTGTATAAGCTTATTTACTAATAACTTAAATATTACATAATTTTAAAATATTAACAACAGATGTCAGCACATCCTGCTGATTCTTATGGGTCTATATTACAAGCCCGACAACCGAAATTCAAATCCCGACTGATCTACCATAATCCCGACTATCGAAATCCCGACTATATCGAAACCCCGACTACCATAAAAATGTTATTGTAGAAATTTATAATAATAAAAGACACTGTCGTGATTTCGATATAGTTGACATTTTGATTGTCGGGTTTTTGAGCTAGCCGGGATTTCGAACGTCGGGATTTCGAACATCGGATTTTCGATTTCGGTTGTCGGGCTTGCGATTGCCACCGGACTCTTATATATAATATAAAAATTTCCATTTTTTAAAATGAAAAAGTAAAATTTCTAATATAATTTAGAAATATTTAATAACAATAAGCAGATACAACTCAAATCAGCACGTTTCTGCCAATTTTAATGTTAAATATTCTTAAAATCAAACAAATGTTTTGTATCAACACTATATAAATAATTCGGCCCGACAACCGAAATATCGTCAATCAAAATCCCGACTATGTCAAAATCTCGACAACCATAATCCCGACTATATAAACAGACCCAATGACCCCCAAATATTTTTATCCTTCAGGATTCATTTTACTTTCATTTATCAGAGCTACTAATTCAGTTTATGTTTGAAAATTAAATATTGAATTAAAATTGCATTAATAAAAATATATTTTGAAGTTTTTTAATTGCATTTTTCTGTAACCTCTCTGCAAATTACATAAAGAAATTCTTTGTTTGGTCTCTAATTTAAGAAATTTCCACGAAGCGAGATAAACTATTATAACTAGGACAAAGATTTGTGGATATTCAAAAATAATTTGTTTTTAATTTATAAAGCAATATGTACTGTCACCATTGTATATAACAGTGATGGACAACCTACGGCCCGCGGGTCATATGCCTAAACGTTACATTCGGCCATAGATTTTAATGTTTCATTTTTTGCATATGCAATAATTTCCATACAATTAATTTGATATATATGTTGAAATCTATTGTACCTTATGTAATACAACAATTTACAAATTTGTCTATATTTTGTATATTTATAAAACCTTGTATTATTAAAGTATTCTTTAAGGCAGCGATTTCCTAACTGTGAGGCGCGGACTAGTCTAGGGGAGGCGCAAATATTAGTCACAGTGAGCAATTTTCTAAATGAGTGCTAAAGTTTTATTGAATGGTGGGTGATGGGAGGCGCCAAATGACTAAATATTTTTAAGGGAGGCGTAGTAACATCAAGTTTGGAAACCACTGTTTTAAGGTAATAAGTTTACTCAATATCGTTTTGAATTAAAAGCAAATTTGCAAATTATGAATGAATTAGATGTTTTAAGGAAAATAAAGTATAACTCTAATTCATTTATTTGTACATAATTAAATTGCTACAAATACTATTCCTATGCTAAAAAAGAAGTCGTGCTTAGTATTAACATATTGATCAGACATGTGCATTACGTGTTATCAAACTATGATAACATTACTTGTACGTTGAATATTCAATAATACTTATAGTGAACTGTGAATCATAGTGAAATTCTATAACAAAGTATGAATTGTAAACCACTATCGTCAGTGTGACTACATATTATTGTTTACATCTATTAAATTAGTGATACGTAAAGGTAGTTAATGATAAATATTTATTAATATATTCTGAAATAATAACAACTATATATATTTTTATTAATTCGATTACTTATATATTAATAAACATTACAAACAAATTACATAAATATCTGTACGTTGAAATTAACATATTACGATTGTTTGAATTTCATTAAAAAAATTCAATTAGTTGCAAACGCAATAATCGGAAACTAGACGGAGAAAAACTGATTATGAAATACACTGATAACATGCAACTAATCAATCGATAAATAGTCGTAATAACAAACCTTCAAGGTTCGAAAATATTCCCCTTAACAACAGCGGAAAATAAAAACGAAACACAAAAGCTCGGATCCTTGAAACGCATTTTTCTGAAGCGTTTTATTTACGTTTAGAAAGTGTTTTATTTACCAAATCGCAACGATTTCTTTTCTCAATTGGCGTTACGCAAGAATAGAAATATCCGATCATTTGCATTCGGAATTTGTATTCGGATGTCGCTAGAGTTGCGAAGCGAAAACAATATTTACAATTTACATGAAAAAAAATAATTTTATATGTATATTACGTAAAATAATTGATAAAATATATCTTATATTATTAATAATAATAAATATGGTAACTTGAGTTTATATTGCGAGGCCGGTGGAGTTTTTTTTTTGCGAAAAGTTGTTGGAATCGTTTGAATGGCACGCAATGAAATCAAACAGAAACTCATCAGTGCAAAAAGAACAAAGCCAAGGTGACAAGAAGCAGTGGTAGTGCAGATGGGAATGTGGATGCACTGCTTCTCGGCGTGATTACAACTGTGGATTTGTTGGAGCCTGGACCCGGTACTACAAGCTTATCGTCGCATGCGGTTCCTAGGATGGCATCTGCAACTGTGGCTGTCAAAATCCTGAAGTTGATGTCGTTCTCGTCGAGGCGAGAGTACATGAATGTTGGTAGACGGTCGGATAAGACCCACAGGCTGCCCTTGGCGTCGACTTTGATGTCGTTCGGGAAAACCATGGATAGATTACTCATGAACACTCGTCCTTGGGATTGCATCGTGTAGGCAGGAGTTGTTGTTCTCCAGCAAGCGATGGCATTCAGATTAGGTAGAGCGTAGAAAAGAACTCCGGTATTCTTATCCAAGAACGAGACGCTGCTCTGCGCGTTCGGACCTCTGCTTCCCAACACCTTGTAGTTGTGATAACTGCTTGATAGAGAATCTTCTCTTAAGTATTTGGTGCTCACTGAGAACTCGTGTGTGCTAGTCATCGGATGGAAATAGAGAGTACTGAAGCCATCTCTACCGGCACCACTGAGAGCCAAACCAAATAAAGCGTCTTGCCATTGGAAATTTATACCGGATATATTGAAGTCTCCAGCCAACGGATCCATATTGAAAAAGTTATGCGAAACTCTCCAAGAGCTTCCCTTCTTCCACGAATACACAATTAAACCGGCTTTACCCAGATCACCTAGATAGGCATAAGCGTCATCGCAAATTTCATCCTCGACGGCGATGTTAGCCAAGAAACTGTCCTCCTTAACTTGCTCTTTAGGTATTTGGTATCTCCTCAACAACGCATCATTATGTAAATCGTAGACCAACAAACTGGCAGGAGAGTAGACCTGGGTGTCTCCCAGAAGATCAGCGACTCCTGTATCCAAGACCCAAAGTCTTCCACATTGATCAGCCCTTACACGGAATGGCGAGACAATTTCTGGTGGATCCGAACCTGGAGTCTGCGGCAATTTGTGCGCTTCCCAGTTGGGATACGGTCTCAACTTAGGCGAATCCATTGAATCTGAAGCAAAAAAGCAAAAGAAAAAAACTTTCTATTAAAATGTTATTATAATGACATGGATTGGAATGTAAATCCGTTATAATTAAAATAATTTCCATTAACGAAGAAAGATTACATTACTGCCAGGCACATAAATCCCTGCATTTCAAAAACAATTAAATCAATTATTGGAAAATTCCATTCGCCAATTAACTCGAGAAGAAGAACAACGCATCATTCTCAGTTTAAGATAGTCACCATTTACAAAAAAAAGAAGTATTTATAAATATGATAATTTTAAGTAGTAAAATTGTTTATTCTGGAAAATTAAATTCGATATTTTTTTTAAATCCATAATTGAACTATTTGCTCTATAAATAAAATAAAAAGCATCAAAATTAATATACAGTGGAACCTCGCATAACGAGCAAAATGAATTTAAGAAAAATTTCATCCTCGATTAACGAGTAAGATTTCGTATAACGATAAGAAAAGAAGAGAAGTCCCGGATTGCGCGTCTGCTACATCATTTTTAAAACTTGTGTAGACATATTATGTGTATTTTTGACTATATTTTAATATACGAGTAAAAATCCGGAAATTTTGGAACGGATTAAACTCGTTCAGCGAGGTTCCACTGTATATTAATTGCATATAAATAATTACATTCGATAATTAACAGAAGAAAAAATATTCAGTTCATTCAGTATATGCAAAAAAAGTATACAATCTGTGTAAAAAAGTAATATGATAATATTAAATAAAAATTAATTAAATCTAATCTATACAAACAATTCATCAAAATATTTGTGTAAACAAATACATTATTGAAATATCAACTGATTACATAATATTCTATAAAATTCTAAAAAATTGTACTTAATTGGCTTATTTTTTAATACCAATTTAATATATTTTAAAGAGCGCAATAAATAAACTTCTAAACTAATGCGTCGTTTCTATAGATAATTTTTGGAAAAATAATTTGACAAAATTATTAAATAAGCTAATAATAGTGATGTCGCATGTATAGCATCCTATGACGTATTTGTTTAGTTGGAGATAATATGAGATAAAGGATAAGATATAAATACACCTGATAGCAGATTTGCGTTAGTTACAATCACGCAAAGATTAATGTCACATTAAGATTTCACTTGTTTTATTAAAAATCATATATACTCATCATTCTATTATATAAAATAGATAAAACTGATCTTACTTTCATAGAAAACATATTCAAATATTACTTAAATGTAATACAATTAGAAATTTTATTTTCAATTCAAAATAGCAAGTCAATTAGTTACAAAATATAATACAATGCAGGTTCATATGATTATGTAAAATAGTTGGAAAAAGAATCATTATTACAAATATCTTAATTTTTGTGACTTATTTTTAAACAAGAATATATATGCACTAACAAATACTTGATTTGAACCAGTTATATTTATTGATGATAACTTTATTGATGCTATAAATACAGCGATTTGATTTCATTTACATAAATAAAACGAAATAATATATATATATATATAGTGGAAAATATTATGAATCATCTTATGTGTTACAAAATTATGAATGAATCTTTAATATAAGTTTACAAGGATTCTTAATAACTGTATATTAATTATACATTAGAGTAATATATTTATGAATTCAAATTAATTCACTAAATTCGGCAAAGTTTCTAAAAATTGCGGAATTGCAAATTATATTTTTTTTATTTACACTGTATTACAATACATGTTTACTTATTGACAAACAGTAACACATAATAACAGGTTTTGAAATAACAAACACATTTAATTCACAAACGATCAGTCCGGTTTCATTTTTTCATACAAAAAGAAGAAAATAATTAAAGTAACTTTCATTCAATTGATAAATAAAACAAACACGCATAGGAAGAGCTAATGACCTGAGTCTTTCCGTCCGGGAAAATATATTTTTTAATTATTTATTATTAATACATAATAAATAAACGCATAAAAGATTCAAACGTAGTGCATGCAATTGAATGTGAAAAGGAAACTGTATTGTTTAACATACAATCATGCACACGAAAGTGTTTATGCGTATGAGTTCTGTAATTCAAGAATAAAATTCAGTTGATTGTCGACACATTTATGGTTATAAATAATGAAGTAAGTGTGTGTGTGTGTATATATACGCTCCAATCAAATGTCGACAAATAGAAACAATCGAGCAATTCACGCTTGTTGCGAACGCGGAGCGACCGTGGCTTCAGAAAATAAATCATTTTCTGGGTCAAAAGCATAGAGCTTGTGTAATTATTTATTTGGATTGATCGACCTTCGTATTTGGATACAAGATCCTAGCCCTTCCAAGATGCCTATATGCATGTTCGTGTCTTTCGTACTAAATTTAATCTATGAATATTAAAATCGTAATTCTCTTCCACTCGTTATGGATGTTAAGGTGTGTGTAATTGTTATGTATGCTATCGCATATAATTTCATGTAAATCATTCTTGAGATATATTGTATTCAATTTACAAGGACAAATTGCATTCAACAGGAAAGGAATTACTATCTAATATAAAATTTGTTATTAATGTTTCTCAGATTTACTTTCCATTTTTATATATAATGGAATACATAAATTACATAGGAAGTACAATTAATTTCGAATAACGCTCAAATAATTATTTAGTTATCCTTCGTTAGTTTCTCGTGTTATTATTAGCATATAAAAAATATTTACAGTTTTTAATTATTTAGCCGCTATTTGATGTTTTGCAGTTTTCTAAATTTAAGCAATTGGTGTTATGAATGGTTCTTGGATTGATGATCAGGAGATTTTTTAAAGAAGAAAATATAAAACAAATATATATATTGAAAAATATTCAATAGCCAGTTGTACTTATACAAATCATATCTTCTACTTATACAAACTTGACAATATTCTTAAGTTAATAAAATTTCAAAAACCAGCAGTCAACAATACCTCGCATAGTGCGACTGTCCGAATTCATCGTAGTCCGGTTTGAAAAAATATTGTACATACCTAAATTATCATTTTTTGTATTGTATTTGTATTTATACAGTTTATAAGAACAAAAAAATGTTATTTTACATTTAATAATTCTTACAAATTGGATACTTTTCTATCTTTATATAATTAAAACTGTATGACGTTGTTGGATTTACGCAAACTAAGTTTGTAATTTATTCATATGTAATGTTTATACTACTAATTTCATTGATAACTAATTATCGCCTGACTAATTAAACAAAAACCTGGAAGGCCAATGCACTAGTTGATTTATGATTAATTATAAACGCGCGAGACCATGAACTAAAATTGGAAATTAAATATCTGTTTTGAATAAATTCATTTTCATTTTAAAACTGTAATAAATTATTGAACCAGTTTACAACATTTTATACTATTAAAATCGTAAAACATGATGTGTTAATACTATGAAATGGAAGTAATAAAATAATCAAAGTTTAATAGATTTTTTCTAAAAATCATATATATTTGTTACGTAAGTAGTAAACAATTTTAATAGTTCCTGCTGAATTCCTGAAGTAATATTACATATGAAGTAAAACATAATATAATAACTTTAAGCATTTATGTACAGTAAGTATTACTTTACAAAAAAAAAATGCGTCAACATCCTGTATAATCACAATCGTTAGAAAAAAATGCCTTTTTTATTTATACTGATTTTGTGGTATTGCTAACTACCACAGTGGGAAATGCGTATTCGGGTTTTGTATCATGAATTCGTTTCCTCAGATAATTACAAGATACTATTTTTATTATTGGTGATGACATAAATATATGATTAACTGATCAAGTTCAAATATTAAAATGTCCATGATTTATATTAGAACCACAGAAAGTAACAGGTATGATACATAATAATTAAGTATTAAACGTCTGATTGCAAACTGAAAATTTGGTTTATTATTTATTAAACAAGAAATAGTATAATAAACGAAAGTATGTGACTAAACTATCAATATACTTTTTAGCATCTTGAATGTAGTTTGTTAATGCTGGCAACGAAGAACTCGTGAAGAGCGAGTGATGATAAAACCGCGTTTGTCATTGAGAATTAAATATTTTTCACTACAAGAAGTGGTCCAATGCCTAGAAACAGTAAAGTTGGTATAAAATCTGAGGAATTCGGTGAGTGACAAAGAGTTTAATTTCTTGAGGATTGAGCAACATTATTAGTGCAGCTTGTTATCGAACTTTGTCCTGTTTTTATTTACCAATATTGGCTATTTATTCCCAAGCTCCCTCGTCATTTCATCGATTTGGTTACAGTTCGTCTTAATCGATTGACTGGGTCTCATGAATCTGCGTTCGATCAAGTATTGATCAACAAACAGACACCATAAGCTTCTTTTGGAAAATATTTGGTTTTGCAGTGAGTTTTAGCCTTAATTTTTACCGAAGGCTTGTGATTGTTCAAAATAATTCATTTTTCCATCCAGTTTCTTGATCATACGGATTTTTTTCAAAAGGTTTAACATTGTTGGAATTTTAACATCAAACCTTGCTGATAATGCATGCGTAGTTTGAGGTGTAACACTTTTAACTGCAGCTCACCATTATCCACCTTCGATAATCGGACAATTCATTCTTGTGCCAAGACCTAATAATTTTTCTAGAAAATGAGTGCTTTCTTTCATTAAACTGTAGTAAGTGTATAACAAATAATACTAAGGGTTATTAAACAAACTGAAAAAACTTTTAGTTTTCACTTAATAATTTAAGTAATATTAATAAAAGATTTTTCTAACTCAGATAATATTTCTTCGAATAATAAAATAAACCGCATGTTATTTGAATATTGTTTTGGCGTAATACATGCGGTCAATAACCTAATGTATACGTATTATTTATGTATACAATAAGTGTTAGTTATTTTTCATTAATACATCAATACCTCGCAGAGTGCGGATTCACTATAGCCTTGAAAATTTCAATAGAAAATAAATTTTCACATTCACATTTTCAAAAATGAGTATACA